TTACCTGGTTCAAAAGATCAGCCAATGAGTGAATCGATTCAGACAGCATGGTAGCTGATCCTGTGTAAAGGTAAGCACCAAACTTGAACATCATGACCGCCGTGTTGCTGTGGAAAAATAAAATTCATGTATAAATTAAAGGTGAAGCTCAAATCCTGATTTTTTGTGGCTAATGCTTCGGATAGGGGAAGCCATATTGCTACAAATCATGTACGTCAGTCGGTAACTATAAAATAACGTAATCATCTTATTAAAAAATCTACGTAGAATGATGTTTCTGTAATCGTATAGTTATCAGCTCTGGATTTTTAATTGTCGCACCCTCGACAACCTTTACACAGATAACAACAATATATTACTTACTTCGTCAAGTGGCTACATCTACAGTCCTGAATACCCGTCTAACTATCCAAATGCGATACGGTGCACATGGAAAATCGAGGTACAAAGAGAAAAGAAGATAAAACTATACTTTGAATACATGAACATTCGGAGTAGTCCATTCTCAAAGATACCTACCTTCGAATTCGTGACGGGTACTATTCAACGAGCACGAAAATGGGCGACTACTGTGAAACTGTTAACGGGACTACTATCCATTCATCCGGACGGCACCTTTGGTTACGCTTTGTATCCGACTCATCATTCAATTCCAAAGGGTTTAAGTTAAGGTATACTACCGAGAGTGAAGGCAGTGGTAAGTATTTTTAAACTTAAAAGTTTCTATTTCAGTTTTCGGCGTAATAGCAAACCGACATTTTTAATTGTTGAGTGATCTCGCACAAGTGATTTGAAGACGAGGCTTTGCGGAAGCAAGAGCTATTTCTTTTGTTTCCTCTCTGAGACTCGCCTTAGATCCATTTCACGGCCAAAATATCCAAACGACTATATATTATTCTCTGAATAAATGTTTATCGTATTCGTCGATGTAAACAGTGCACATTTATTTCAGGTTCAGTCGGTGTAATCATTGGAATCATCATTGGCATCGCAGTCATCGTTGCTGTCATCGTCATCATAGTGTACTGCACTAAAAAGAATCGACGAGGAGCAGTTACCACAGGGGCTCCTTCAACGATAACCACCACAACAGTCACCACAGTTCCTCAACCCCAGGGCGTGCCTCTACAGCCTGTTGGCCAAGCCCCTCCAACCCAAGGTTACGCTGGAATACCCCCTCAAGGCAACACTGGCCCACCCCCTCAAGGCTACGCTGGTCCACCCCCTCAAGGCAACACTGGCCCACCCCCTCAAGGCTACGCTGGTCCACCCCCTCAAGGCAACACTGGCCCACACCCTCAAGTCTTTGCAGCCCCACCCCCTCAAGGCTATGTAGCCAAACCCCCTCAAGACTACACTGGTCCACCCCCTCAAGGCTACACTGGTCCACCCCTCAAGGTTTCCCTGGCCCACTTCCTCAAGGCTACGCTGGTCCACCCCCTCAAGGCTGTGTAGCCCAACCCCCTCAAGACTACACTGGCCCACCCCCTCAAGGTTTCCCTGGCCCACTTCCTCAAGACTACACTGGTCCACCCCCTCAAGGCTACGCTGGCCCACCCCCTCAAGGTTTCCAGGGACCAACGCCAATAGGACCATCAGGCTCGTACCCAGGTCCACCCCTGGTAGGGGAACAACCAGGAAAAACTACTGGTCCTACGAAAGTATCATAGAACAAAAAGTAGTACGTAGGTAAGGCTATGCTCACAAATTCGTGAATTTTAGTTATTAATTATTTTATCATTTTATCCATTTTATCCCACAGTCCATTGCACTCTCAACCTGGATGATCTTGTATGTGCAGTTGCTTGGGTAGAGCGTGACATTTGTACAATTTGCTTTTCAATAGATCTATTACACAATTTCAGGCCCAGTTAAGGGTGTTGAGTCTTGGTATCTGTAGAGCAATTTGCTTAATACCACGAAAGGTAGCTGATATCACAGCTGAAATCAGATCCTTCTGGTATCTCTTTTAGATTCATAGAAGGATAATTATTTCGTATATTTCAAATGAAGTGATTGTAATACTCCAATTTCAAGTTCTGGTTTGCTCTGTGTTAGCCTCAAAACCAAGTAACATATTCTTTTGTTTCATTGATAGCCCGAGAAAACGCATGGAATTTGAAAAGAAAAACAATGGAATTCATTTGAAATYTCACAYTTTTATTCTCACAATTTGGAATATTTTGCGCACAAATGAGGCTAACACAGAGCATTGGAGAATTCGAAACTGGATTATTGTTCGTAATCATAAAGGAAATTCAAATCAAAGGTCATTTCGGTCTCTTGATAGCAAAATACTGGGGATAAGATCACCATCCTTGAGTGTGCTTGAAAAATGCAGATTACTACTTATAGAACTAAAATACTAGCTGTACATAGATKTYAATGTAATAAGAGTCTGTACCATATACTTTTAACTCAGTCAAGTGTCCTTCTCAGTTCTTCTCGCACTTGATCGAGGCGCTTTCTRACAGCTATTGGATTATGTTTAGACCGCGAGGTCAAGTGGAATACGAGTTGACGAGTTGGTAGTCCACGAGACTGAAAGGACTTTCAACTTTTAGTTCAGTCATGATAGTTTGGTGGACATCCTAATTTCTTTTGGACAGACTGTCGCATCAAATTGTCAGTCGCTTTAGACTTCGACTTGTCTCATTTGAAGCTAAAACCTTGAAGTCCCGTTTACACTGCCGATTTTCCCGAAGATTTCAACGGCGATTTTGATCCTAGCGAATTACGTTAAAGAATTAACTTGTAAAGTTTCTTTAGTAAACTGAGGTGAGCTAACTAAACGTTCACAGAGATAAGACAAAACATATTATATTTCTGAAAATGGCCTGAAAAATCGCAGCAAGAAATCGCCAGTGCGAAAAGGTTTAAGAGATCATCATTGCACTTAATCTCACGAATTACACGAACGATAATTCTTTAATTTTAAATATTTCAACATAATTACAATCATYCATTATTTATYATAAAATCTCCAAATCGACATGACGGACTTCGGGATTCTTTTTCTGAAAATAGAAAATAGAAAAACAAAAATAAACTTAAGCTAGAGTAGTATAGTATGTACTGAATTGCTCCTGGGAAATTAGAGAATCATAGAAGGGCATGAACATTTGGTAGCAGTGCTAAGTTCCGTAGCTTAATAAATATTCTTTAATATTTGTTTTCAATTATTCCAATGAGATTCAAAGACAAAAGACCGTCGGTCACGTCGGTGAATAATGAGAAATTCTTAGTTAAAGTTCAACCAAGATGGCCGCTTTGTCGTGTATTACAAACGATGAAAATGCTATGAATAACGACGTTGAAARGTAAAAGCACTTATCCGTGAAGCAAAAATGGTACAAAATTTTTGCTTAATCAGTGCTAATTCCTTTGTTTTACTATTGTCCAATCAACACTATTTATGTATTTATTTATTAGTAATAATTTAGAGTGACACTTAACAATAAAACACTGAATGATAATCAGTTTTGTTTGAGCAATCATGTCAACTGCATTTTAATAAAAATGACAAAGTAATGGTGATAGCCATCAGTGAGAAGTGAAAGTAGTTGAATGAATAAAAGGGAGGAATAGATTGGGGTAGAGTGAATGAAAATTTCATGAATACTTCCATTCCACCTTGATGTTCTTTTCAATACGATCCACCTGTTGTCCAAGTACATCAATAATTTGTTCTCCATATTCTAGCATAAATTGTTCTAGTTCAGTCACTGTTGTAAGCTTTTGAACCTCCTATATTGGAACAGTTGCAAAAGAGTTTTATTAGAAAAATACAACGAATGTCAAGGCACAGGAAGCCCGAGTGTCCTCCACAACGTTAAACAGTGGTATCATTACTACAAGTACTAGAATACTTTAAAATGTGAAGAATATTAAAAATCGAACTGCAAAAGTGTGGGAATGCATTAGATCCCTCCCTAACAATCTAAAAAGAGTMAATTAAAAGACGTTTCTTTGCGGATGGTGTTAAGAATTATAGTTAAGAGTTTAGACTGCAGTGCAGTGACCAAGTCTCCCGGCGCAAATCAGTCAAAAACAGTGTGAACTCACCGCAAGCATTTGTTCTAAATCAACTCTGTTCAAATGACATCGACTAATTTCACGTCCATCAAAGTTGACTTCAGCTTTAAAACGGACTGTATCAGCACCTAGAAACAGAATCCAATACATCGATATACGATATAATTTACTACACCCTTTAACGATTAACATCCGAATATTCACGATTACGACCCGAACTTTAACGATTATGATCCGGATATTCACGATTASGACCCGATGTAGCGRGTTGATCCGAAAGTTTACAATAAATATAACCCGAGTGTTTTAATATAAATATAGGTTAATACAATTTATGCTTACCCATTTCAGTAGCTTTCACATCATGTATTGATCTTACTACAATATCACTTTCTAAAACCTCGATAATTTGAGTTAATCTTCCTGGTGGCATCGACCTGTATCAAATATATACAAATTTATAAAGAAACGATATCGATTGAAATTATAAAAGAAAAGGTTCACAAAATGACATCGATTGAAGCTTATAACAGAAAAGGGTGTTTACAAAAATTCAGTTTTTTTTATTTTAATTCTTGGATCAAGTGTGCAAACACTACTAGCCCATGTAGTCAAGCGTTGCTAGCTGTTCGTTCCAAACTCCTTCGAAGCGGCTAGGAACGCCTGTCTACGCAGGCTGATGTTATAGCCTTCAAATTGCACGATTCCGAAGTTGATAACAATTTTATTAATCTTTCTTCTGAGTACTTGTCCACGACAATCTTTACAAGCTTCTTGTCCGAGGGTTGTCGAATACTACTTATCTCTTGCTATAATCCTATATCATACGTCATACATGACGACAAACTTGAGGTCATCACACTGACACTAGAGGCATTCTTTTATGCTAACATTTCAACCGCTTTAACGATGAAAAGATGTTCATTGACATGGTGCTTTGTTTCGCATTTCAAAACATTCAATTTAAATTACAGAATATCGATAGATAATACTAATAGTTACAACCACGGTTCGTACCTTCCAATTAAAAAGTCTGCATTACGACTTATAAGAAAAAACGCTACAGTCCCGAGAAGACCTACAAAAACAACACATTAGAAACAAAATCACATCTGAAATATTCTTTGATGATTAAACTATATGTTGAAATTCTACCACATTGAACGCTACCACCAGACACACCTAGATAGGCATATCACGAATAGAGCACATATCAATAGCCAATCAGAATGCTGGATAAGTAATGCAATGCAATGCTTAAATGCCAACATACATTCATCGCTTCTTTTTTTTTACAAATGATCTCTTATCAAATGATCTCTTATTGAAAGGTGATTTCTTATTTGTTAAAAATCAAATATGGCAAAGTTTTGTTTGTAGAGATGATCTCTTATTGAAAGGTGATTTCTTATTGGTTAAAAATCAAATATGGCAAAGTTTTGTTTGTAGAGAAGTCGCGCAACGGATCTCGGATGCACATGGGTGCACATAACTCTAATATTTAAAATTGTGGCGGTGGAAAAAATTCATGTCGAAATATACTTTTGTTTGACACCAATACATACCTCCAATCATTAATGAGCCAATGGCATCAAAAACTGGGCTTCCTGTGTATGACGTCAGACCAAGGCACAGGGCACCCAATGTAACGCCGGTTACAGCAGCACCGTCTTCCATCAAGACAGCAACCGAGGTTGGATCACGTCCACGAACCACTAGAAGTGAGCAAAAGTTTTGTTCAATTATATAATCAACAAAAAAAACAATCCATTGACTGTTAAGCATGGCTTCTTCACCAGCTACCCTCGGGCTGCGCTGACAGAGTAGCCAGGGGACGAGCTATGACAATGACAATGCAACAAATCCTTATGACGTGAACATACGTAAACACGCAAACGTCCACAAAGAGTAATTATTATAATATAATGCCCAGTAAAACTTGAATGATTAACTAAAAGTATCGAATAAGTAACGTGCAGCAACGCCATTTTGTGCAACAAAGCATGRTGTGAATTGTAGTCCTCACACTTATTTATGTTCGMTAAAATAGTCAYCCTACGTCGTTTTTGCATTTCCTTGGAAAAGATGGAGTTAAAAACGAGATTTTTACAGGATATTAAGAATGCGAGGACTACAATTGTTATGATTCTTGGTTTTACAAAATGGCGTCCCTGCACGTTGCTAATRGTTCTTTATCATAAATAAAAGGGTCCTAATTTTAATATAAAGATAAGATACGTACAGTATTCCTTGAATGAGACACCACTTTCTCTGGCGCTTATTTTAATTTGATTGACAGCTACAAGTAATGTTGCTAGGAAGCAAAACAAAGTACAAACTTATATTAGCCTTCTCAAAAAACTTTTCAATCTGGGCTTCCTGTGGCGGATTAAAATGCGGGGGAATGTGGTGAAAGAAGCTATGGCACTCGGCTGCCTGCGAAGCAGAGGCTACAAACAAATAAGAATTTTAATTCTTAAAAAGCTTTGTACGTTTTGACATGATGAAGACAAAAAGATAATTATACCTCCTTCCATGATAAACGACCCACCGAGGATAGCATAAGCCTTAAACAGAAAAGAAAAAAAATTAAAGGTGTGAATATGTTAATGAGTTAATTTCATAGGCTCATTCTCAATCATGCCATGCAAACGACTAATGAAGGAAAATCACTAAAGGCCCACGTGCACCCAAGAGCCTTTGCGCGACTTTCTTACAAACGGAAAGTCGCCATCTCGGAGAATTTACGTGGGAGATCGAATGAAAGTTTTCGGGGAGGCTTATCATCGCGTACTCGGGTGTAAGTGGGCCTTTCAACAAGTTTCTTAAGCTTCCTTCTGTTCAGCGAGTAGACAGAATACCACTTGAGCGTTCTTAATCGCCACAAAAGATCGAAATAAGGGTTTCTTGGGATTACTGCTAAACAATTAGTGAATAGAGTTTCCAAAAAAAATTATAAATCCATCACATGACCGGAGTTTTAAGGATTCACACACTAACTTCTGCCTCGCTAGTTGTAAGCTTTCTACACAGTTACCCCTAATATCATCGTGCATTGCAAAGGAAGCCTGCGCTAATATAAGGGGTCGAGATAGCGTTGGCCATTTATACCACAGGTAATCCAGAATTTTAAAGCATGATCACTTCCAAAGGAAGCGCGTACTTGTATGTTTTCTGTGTTTAATACTTTGATGTTCGTCAGTTATTTGTTTCACTAATAATCATTTTTATTATAAAAACTAAAAAAAAAAAAAACAAACAAACAAAAACTCGAAAGCTTCAGAGTTCAAGAATGGGCTGCCTGTGCTTTCTCGGAAATGTGACGTAACTTGAATTCGATTACAACTAGTTGACCTCTTTACTTCAAAGACTGTTTTATCATTTGCCCTGTTTGTCTCTATAGTTCAAAGACTGTTTTATCATGTCTTCTATCCCTGCTGTTGCACTCGCTATTGGAGGTGGGGCGATTGTTGTGGGAGCAGTTGTACTAGTTGCAAAACTCTTTGAAGACAATGTTGAAGAGGTAAGCCAGACAAAAGATCGACTAACCGACGAAGTGCAATAGATACTTTGTCTTCAATTACCTACAACCAGCAGAACCAAAACCACACTTGTAGGCATTTAGACAATGACAACGCTTCCTATATTAAATTAGTAGGCTGCAGTTTACTTGGTAGCGTCT